AATCTGTGGGTGTGTATTAATTTATGTATTTTGTTTTCTTTATTTCAACTGGGACACATTTTTACCTGTTTTTAACAATTGTAAAGCCCAGTACAATATACAATGAAAGATCCCAAAAGAACCACCATAGAATACCAATACAGTAAATATAATGCTACATACATAAAAATTTCATAACAAATAGCAGTATTTACATTTGATTTACATCTTACTATTAAAATAATACAATGTTTGCTAAAATATTACTTGTATAATCTTTTAATATTTTTATATTTGTTGATTCTGATTGTCTTTTGATATCACCATTGTATACACCTGTTAAATCCCTTTATTTGCATATTCTATAGTTTTTGAAGGTAGTTATACTTACTTATTTCTTCATTCCTGGAAATGAGCCAATAAACAACATGAATATGACCTGACTCTTGTTGGAATTACATTTTTACTATGCTATTTAAACATAATCAGTGCATGTCTATATATATTATCTGTGTACATCTATCATTTATTATTTAATGACTTAAAAAATATCAGACAGTCAATGGAAGTGAAAGAATTTAATATATTGACCTTTTTATACACAAAAAACTTTTATAGCCTCCTGTTGTTGAGAGCTAGGTAATTCACTACTCTATAGAGAAAAGGGTCAACACTCGCTTGGTAGAAACATAAATAGACTGAATAGGAAAATTCTTGCACAATTTAATTCACTGTACAACCTGAAGAATTGACTATTTAAAATAATTCCATTGGATTTGTCATTTTAAAATGACAATTTTTTTTTTTCATAAATTTACATTATCAATAAATTATGCATTGAAAGGTTAAAAATAATATTTTCATTGAAACCCAAATTTTTTAATACACAACTGTTAAAATGCAATTTAATAGTCATTGCAAAAAAAATATATGAAAGTTCTATTTCTAACAGAAAGGTTACTTAAATATGAAAATTAAGTAATTAAATTGTTATATTCAAATTTAATACAATATGCTGTTTGTGTAACATACAGCTTTTGGTACTGCATGTATTATTACTGTTTTAATGATTGCCATTGAATTTAAACTAATAAAGCTGAATGATCATGCACCTTCTATTGGCAGGACCTTGATATTTTACCAAACAAAGAGTACACGCTAGTTGGTGAACGTGGAGTAACCCTAAGTGGAGGTCAAAGGGCAAGGGTTGGACTTGCAAGAGCGGTTTACAGTGACATGGATATTTATTTACTTGATGACCCATTAAGTGCTGTTGACACAGAAGTTGGGAGGTACTTGTTTGATGTGTAAGTGATGTTGATGTATTAGATATTTGTGACCCTCTCTAGCAAAAACAGACTTGTCCTAAAATGACATTATTAAATCTTTGTAATTCAAAGGTAAAATGCTAATAATTTATTAAAAAATATTTAAATCCATATAACAAGTTGGTGAGGATATAATGATGTATATTTTCTGCCCAATGTGTATTAAGATAGTAATTACATGGAAATGTTAGCTGATTTGAAGTCTTTTTTTTTCTTTTAAGACAAACGCCAGACTGAGTGTAAAATAAGGCTTGCGCTGGGAATATATCCCAGGACGAAAATTAAGCCTAGAACTCTGTCCTTGCATTTTGGAAAATAAGGACCGGTTGCCCCACAGTTTTTGCAGAAAATTTAACCTTGGCCTATCCCTTAATATACAACCAATGTATTAATCAGTAGGCCTACGTTTCTGTGCACTTTTTTTCCTAGCGATTTTCCATGCAAAGTTGCGTTGGTTTTTGAGATAATGAAATAATTTACAGTTTGGGAAAAGTGCCTTTTTTTTTTTGCCAGTCAGTCACATAGATAAATCTGTGGAGTATTTGCATTTTGGTTGAAATTTCACAATTCTTCATTTTTTACAGTGTTCATGAGAAATTCACTTTATCTATCACTTTTCCTATATACCCGAACTTCAAGTGCACACATCACTGGTTCTGTTTTATCCTAGGAAAGCCATTCAAAATACAGTGTAAAGATTATACTGTAATGTGTTCTACTTATGTATAGCCGGGCACCCGGCAGTCGTCGGATTTTCTATGGCGAACGCAATGGCACTATATGTGCAATAGTCGGCGTGCATTGTCTTGTGCTTACAAGGCGTACAGTTGGGAGTGGTCGTACGACTGTCGTATGATGCAGCGAGTACCTGGCATAACATATTTAGTAGGGGGACCTCACATATTTGTCAAGCATGCTTACAGTAATACATGAGATTTCAAACCTATTTACAGATGTATCAGGGAGAGTTTGAAGGATAAACCTTGTATATTAGTTACTCACCAACTTCAGTACTTGGAAAATGTTGACAAGATACTTGTAATGAAAGACGTAAGTTTATATGATCTTATAAATTCCATGTCACTAATCATTTATGTATTGTTTTTTTTTTTTCTTATTTCTATGTTTTATTGACAATGTTAGTATTGAAAATGTTGATCATATTAACAATGCAGATGATAGTGTTGATATTAATGACAAGGCTTGCCATCCAAAACCAGCATTTTGCTGCTAATTTTTAAACTGAGTAATTAGCATATGAATGTGACAGTATTGTATACTTCAGTACAGAGAAGCTGTAATAATCTTACTCATAACTTGGGCAATACCAAGTTGATTCCAGCAAATAACCTATCATTTTAAAACTTATATAAATGTGGAGAATATGTAATATATCTACATTTTGGGTTTGCACACTGGCAAGCCCCATATTGTGTATAGTGAACAAGTAAAATACAAATGCTGAACCGAATACAAGATAACCCATAGTGTACAGAATATAATAGTTATAAAATCCTTGTGGTGATAATCAAAAACAGTATCCATGTCACTAAAATATTGCAGAGGAGGCCCTTAAATGGGATCTGTATGTTCTATGCACTTTACGCAAACTGTACAATATTGGACTTTTAAAGGTTATAAGAAGAAGAATATAGAGAATTTCTGTTATTATTAGGAACCATTTTGCAAGCACAGGTAAAAAATACTGGCAATGATATGCTGACAAAATAAAACTAATTAATAGAAAAAAAGAGAGAACAGCACACATTCAGTAATATCGCGAAGCCAGGACTGGCAGGATGGAATCATGAATATTAATGAGTTCTCTTGTAAAATTACCAAGCTACTGAAAAACATGTTTTGCCTTGTAGATGTTAAATTTCATTCCTTGTTTTCTTCCAAAAATTTTCAACTATCTTATCACAATTCATTTCATAACTAATCGTAAAATAATAAATAAACAATATTTCCAGAAAAAATTTCAAACCTTGAGTTCCCCTTTAACAACTGGGTTTAAATATAATGTACTAGTGTTTTCAGTCATTTTTGCATTTTTTTTTTTTTGATGATGTTTAAACTTGTAACATGAAATTTAATTAAAAATGTCAAGGATCGGCTGGTTTTTTTTAGGGTCGGTCGTTTTATGCCAACATAACAATTTTTTTTTAGTAACCCACTACTATAATAGTAGCCCACCCTAAAAAATAATTAAAGAACATTAACCTGTGGTTATTATTAGAAGTTTTATGAGTAGAAGTTTCAAAAGTAGTAGAGTAAAAAGTAGAGTAAAATATATGCTGTAGTGGACAAAATATAAAGGTCATAAAATTAACAATACAATAAGAGAATGCCAAGCTGCAGATCCACTGCCATCATTCCATTGATATGCTGCTGCTTTAAAAATACAGTGGCCTTCAAAGTAACAAACTTTTTCTTGTATGTTTGTTTAAAGTTATTTGATAAAAATTGACAAATTTCTAATTTGAATTAAATCAGGGTCAGGTAGCTGGTTATGGAACATACAGTGAGCTGCAGTCTTCTGGGATAGATTTTGCCACTTTACTAAAAGAGCCTGAAAACAAAGATGATGTAATAAGTAACCAAGAATCAACTACTGGGATAATGGCAGGATCACAACAGTTTAGTTCCACCGGATCATTAGAATCCTCTAAGGTGAGTAATAACAAACTGATTGCTTAATTACCATGAAGGCAGCATAATCCACAGTGGCGTAACGATGGGGTGGGGTCCTCCGTGGCTTTCTGAGAGTGGGGGCCTTTTGGGTGCCGGTTGCCAATTCCATTGTAGGATTTTAGATGCCCTCATATTTTAAATATGTTTGTCATTGCATTTTAATGTTTTTAACCACAAAGTAAATGATATGATGTATGTGTTAAATCCAGGAATGTTTAATAGGACCCAGGGAAAGACTTTTACTGATAAAGGGTCAATACCACCTCAGCACGACCATGGTTGGGGCTGAGGAAAGAAAATTTATGATTACAGCAATGGCCGGAAATGGCACTCACAGACTTAAAATTAAAAAAATTTAGGGGCCCCTGTAATTCGCCCCTGGATATAATACTGTATGATATACAGTCGATTTCAGAGACAAATTATGCTTTTATGTATAAACAAAGTCCTTTTGGGTCAGGGTGCTAGGTCGAGGACCATGTGGTTAGGGACGCCTAGGGGTTGGAGTCCCTGCGGAGGGCCGCACGAGAGCGCATAGACGTTGCACCACTGATAATCCACAATCAGCTAAAATGGTTTCAGCCTTTTTCTGTGCTTTGAGTTGGTTGCGGAAAGAACATGCATGCATTACTCGGTAGGTTAATGAGTCTTTCTGGACTGGCAATTTATTTCAACAACTGGCCAATCATAAGAGGGCCAGGAGTACACACTTGACCCACAAACGTACGTGTTATTTCATGTACTTGTTTGACGCTATCGTTCTGTGGTAGCAACAATATGCAAGGGATGGGGCGTAGTGGAAAAGTGTGCTGCTTCATGTGACAATGTGACATGCCTAAGGTCATGATGACATCACATTATGACCATATATGAGCACATCATGACTATATAATGTGCATACACCACTTTTTTTGTCCTAAAAAATGTTATAATCCGGACACAGCTTTAGGTTAAAACACTGGTTCAATGTTTAGAGACAATTTTAAGTCATTGATTTATTGCTATGTCCAAATAAGAACTTTTAATATCAAGAAAGATTAGTGGATTATATTCCAGTGTACAAATTACCTTCCAATATAGCCTTAAAGATGTATTATCCCCTAAAAATGATTTTAAAAAATCATAAAAAAATAATTTGTAATTTACTCATTTTGCAGTAACATACAAATTATTGAAAGGTCGACTGATTAATCTCAGATAAGAAAGTATAATACATACTCCAAGTATTGAAATACACGCCATCGTGTTGGGAATCCCAACACGATGGCGTGTATTTCAATACTTGGAGTATGTATTATACTTTCTTATACAAATTATTAACTTGAGCATAGAAAGTTATTGAATTTATAAAATGTGTACCCGGATTTTTATACTGGGTAATGATAATAAAAATAATAAAACACTTCTAATGTTTGGAAGTGTTTCTATAATTTTTCAATGTAAAGTTATTGGTAAATATTTTTTTTAATTCACTCATTCCTTTGTTAAATTATTAACTTGAGCATAGAAAGTTATTGAATTTATAAAATGTGTACCCGGATTTTTATACTGGGTAATGATAATAAAAATAATAAAACACTTCTAATGATTGAAAGTGTTTCTATAATTTTTCAATGTAAAGTTATTGGTAAATATTTTTTTTACTTCACTCATTCCTTTGTTCAAGTTAATCATTTTTATGTTACTTCAAATTGTCCGGGCTTGAAAAGAGCTGGTCTGGCCACCATCATAAATTTAGCCAACATGTAATAGAGGAGATGTTTTTTAAGATGTCACAGAGGGACAAATGAGCTGAGTGCTCATAAGTCCTACGGTTCAAGATAATTCAAGGTGATATTAAAGAGACCATTCTTTTCAATTTTAAACTTTTTTTTACATTTATAAAGGGTATAGACTCAGCAGCTGAAAACGAAGGAAAGGAAAGCAAAGCTATTAGCACAGTCTCCTTTAGAGTTTACCGGCGATATATTGGAGCTGGAGGTGGAATTTGCTTCTTATTGTTATATGTATTAGCTAATATTTTAGTTCAGGTATAGTGTGTATATGATTATTTTGCTTTAAAGTACTTGTATTTTACCATCCATATATCTTGGGGAAAAAATCCTTTTTTCTCTTGTTAAACATTTCCCATTACAGATCTTGCACTAGCTTTTGATAAATTACTATTACAAATATTTCATTATTATTATTATTCTCATATTTTTAGTGTAATCTCAGCATTTGCTAGAATAATTTTTTTTTTAATGTTGTAGACTTCATAGTAATAACTTGTTTACGTATTTCATCTTTTTTTATGATATCCAAATAAATTAAATGAAGAAATATAATGAGGGCTATTTTGAACAAGTTCTTTTTATAACTCTTTGAATAAATAAATAAATAAACCCGTTTTAATCTGAAATAACTATAGTGAATACAGTAATTAATTACTTAATCACATAGCTGGTGTGAAATTTAAGCTAATTGTATTTTCCAGACACTATATAATGCATCTGATTGGTGGTTGTCATATTGGGTGTACAAAGAAGAAACAGCACAAGAAGAATTTGATTCCATTGATTTTGCAAATTCTGTAAGTAAAATGATCATATGGTTATTAGATGCATGGGTCAATTCAAATATTGTAGCATTGGTAGGTGGGCGGAGCTTAATAATGACAGTCGCCTACAGTAGTTGAAGTTGACCTTTCTCCCTGTGAGCTACAGCGCATGTTACAAAAGACAGCACACCGCGAAAGTATGAAAAAATTATGGTAAGCCTTCATATCATCTTGTTGGTTTCATTGTTTTTTCGTCACACATTTCTTGCGAAGAAACGATCGAACCAAAGAAGGGGTCAATTTGGGTCACCGACGGGTCATGACTAACACAGTATTGCGTTGCAGCTGAAAAGTGTACCACCACAAAACATAGGTTTTCTGATCGCCAACCCTATAACAAATGCATGTTAAAACACACATTTTTTGAACGCATTCCTAACCAAGGCCCGTTTCTGCTGGTGAAAAAACACAAATGTTTTAATAATTGTTTAAAAACATGTGTTTTTTAGCTGAGTAGAAACAGGCCCTACCTAATAAATTTCATTTCCCTATTAATTATCCCCCATAATAAGATATTGTTAGAATACCAGCATATCAAGCATAATTAATGATGATCTAAATTTTATTACAGATTTTTATACAATTGCTGACAACATTTTTTTTGTTTTTATTTGTTTGCTCAAATGCATTGGATGACAACAATTAATATATGTAATACAATAAATATATCAACATAATTTAATGTTGTTGCTTTGGCATTTCATTACTATTATTGTTGAACATTAATTAATATTGTTCTTTTCATCATTATTTTCGTTAATTGTTGAATTGTTGATACTATTGATATGTTTTATTTATTTGTTTGTTATTTATATAGCACCTTTAATTTTTGCAGATACGAAGCTATGGTATACATGTGTATAATAAGAGTTATTGTTAATTAGTATTTAAAAAACCTTCTTTTTTATTGTGGTTAATTTAGGGGGAGGAGGTTCACAGTGTAGATATACTTTTATCTTTTTGAAAAATATAAAGTGATGATCTTGACAAAATGGCAAAAAGAATCATCATTTTACTCTGTACTCTTTAAAAAATGATGAAAATAATAGATAATGGACCCCTAAGTTTTTCAATTATTATTGTTTTTAATATGTGCCTGTTATGTACTTTCCTTTTTATATCTGCAGACTGCTGATCCATCTGAATACGAGTTTGATTCAGATTTGTATATCTACATCTTCTGTGGCCTAACTGCTGGACTATTTGTAACATCTTTCCTCAGATCATTTATGACTTTCAACCTTGCAGTTAATGCTTCTGAAAATTTGCATAATCAGATGTTCCTTGCCATTATCCATGCACCAATGAGGTTCTTTGATACAAACCCAACTGGTAAGAATACCTACTCAAAATATTTTTTAATATAAATATAATAAAAATATATAATATCTTTAAAAAAAGGGGGGGAAATACCCCAAAAATTCAGTTAAAGAATTTGAATAGCTCATTTAAAAGGACCGCATAGGTTATCAACAGAAAGAGATTGAAAAGAATTAGTTTTTGATGGTTTACAGATGTTTTTCTAAATCAATTTAAGAATTGTTGTAACAATCCTTAAATTGATTTTTTTTTTTTAACATTAATTTAAACATATGCCAAAAGAAACTTGTCTAAACTGGTACGTCAATTGGGCTCTTGCATATGCCATCGGTGGCTTCATTTTTTTCTGTACGATGATAGGCCCATGAGCAACCCAGCTATTGTAGTTTTGATTAGTGAAACTCCTATGCATTGTCTTCCAGTAGTACTAGGTGCTACTGTATAATTTTTTTCATGTGCTTTCCCAACAATGTTGTGAGCTACTCCTAATCTGTGGTGTAATAGCCTATAATCAAGGGCATCCAAAGGCTTCTGAAATATCTAGGTCCAAAGAAATGGCAAAAATATTGATGGAGATATAGAATTATTAGAAGCACAATGTGCTTGTTTATGCCTTTGGTGATGGATACTTTTATGGAATGTTCCCTAGGAAATATTACTAGCTCTATGTTCAGACTAAATTCATCTCAAGCCATTCACATCCAACTCAGTGATTGCCCTACAGTACAGGAGGGCGTTGTAATGCCAGATAGCGCCTCTTCATTTAATCATCAACATCCTCATCTACTCAACCCTCAAGCCCTCCTTCCCTTCCACCCCCAACTCCTTGAGACAAACATTCAAGTATACATAGCGAAGAGGAGTGTTTGATACACCGACAGTGCCCCCCCAGGTGGCCTTGGTGCCCCTGAAAACGAAGCACGAGTATGGCCACTACTTGCCTGCCCTTTTGCAGCCTTGGCCTCGGTGCCCTCACAACGCTTAATATAGATCGTTTGACACGTAAAATAATTCTAAACAAGAATGTTCAGATCTTGTAAGAAAACGCGAAAGCCAAAAATGTAGGTCGCCTAGGCCTAGATATAATGTTGCAGTGACAGAACAATAGAATTTCCATGTGTGTTGATACAAACGGTTACCGTTGTGTGCGGATGCGTCTGACTCGAGCGGATATTGCAGTAAACATGTACTGTAGTTGTAAACATGTGCTTGCTGTGCAGCTAGCTTTGGGCGATCTGACATCATCGCAACTCAAGCGTGTGAAATTAACCTAATTGTTTGACACTCGGCTAATCTGGTTGGATGACGGCCAGTTTAGAGGTGTAGCCTCCTCTTCGATGACGATGCACTGAGCAACAACGTTAGATATTGAAATTCTTGAACATTCACTGTTTTGTTTACGATCGCTGACCGCCGCAAAAACACTAAAAGTATATTCCAAAATTGAATCGATAATTAATCGTTAATACTCCAAACAAAGTCGTTTTACCATTGACAACGATGCTAGGCCTAGCTTGGCCTAGACCTAGCTTGCCTAGGCCTAGCCTGGCTACGAATTGAGGCACTCGCGAGAGATTAGTACTGAGGCTAAATCAAATTTTGTCTTAGTGTCCTTTTATATTTGAAATTTTGGCCTTGGAGCCTTCCCATTTGGCCTTGGTGCCCTTTCAAAATCATTTCATACCGGAGGCCATTTGGCCTTGCCCATAAAATCCCCTAATTCGAGGCCTGCGAAGCATATAAAATTATTGCGTAGTACTGTACAAAATGCGTAATTATTGAGAAAAGTGTGAACTGCAGTTGAAAATTATTGGATGATAAATGGATAGATATAGATTTCATTCTAATAATGAAATTGCACTTTTAAAAAAAATCTTAAAAGAGGGGCTCAGCACACGCGAGTTTCATCTTTGGCATGTAAAATGGAAAAAGATGAATTAATCGCAAGTTTTGAAAGGTTGTCTCAAAAGACCTTGAACGATATGGACTTATTGCACAGTTTATGTAGAAGTTGTAAACATTCAGTGTTATCAGATGAGTTGAACCCATGTGAGCTGATTTCAAGGGGGATAAGGTTGACCTCATGGCCAGCGTCTCTAAGATTTAAAACCAGAGGTGAATATTTATTGAACTTCCTTATAATTAAAATGTTACATCACATCAAACCAAATCGAAGTTTATTTTTCCTTCTTGTTCTTAAGGTCGAATTCTGAATAGATTTGCCAAAGATATCGGATTTATGGATGACCTCCTACCACTAACATTTGCAGATGTCGTGCAGGTTGGCAAACTTTTCAAGTAGAGTAGAGTTTTTGTTCAAATCTGGCGAATGTCAGATTTTAATCGGAGTCGATCACTTGGCTCCTTGCAAAGCCCCCGCATGACAGTTAGGCGAGACAGGATACATAGTAGTGGCGCCGTATTATGGGGTCCAGCCACAATTTCTAATTCCAAATTTAGTATAATGACAAAAAATGAAATAACAATACAGTATTTAAAGGTTCATCAACTTATTATCACACCATTGCCTACAAAGATTTATTAGCGTAAACCCAATATCTGATATTGTTGCACTCCATTTCAACAGATTTCCTTAATGGTCTTTGGGATCGTCACTACCGTGGTAATTTTCAATCCAGTTGTGCTTGTCTTTGTCGTGCCACTTTTTGTTATTTTAGTGTTTGTGCGAACATATTACCTATATACGTCACGTGATATAAAGCGTATGGAGGGAATTAGTAAGTTATGTTTCAGTTATTTCAATTTTTGTTCTAAAGTTGTCATTTTTTATTTGGAAGTACAGTTTATATGTGTAACATACTTAATTTTCACATGTCCCTAATCCTAATTTTTATCTTGTTTAAATGAATAGAATAGGCAAGTTTAAATTTTAGATTACATATGCTTTTCTAAGATACAGATATATAGTTAGTTTTTATAAGGCAAACAATTAAGATCATTTTACAAGCTGGAAATACTGTAACAATCATACAATTTAATAATAAAATACACTGAATTGATATATATAAGCATTTAACATTACTCAGCTAGTGAGTAAATATCCGTTTATTCAATGGTTTAATTCACTTTTTAATTGATTTTCCTCATTATTTTTTTCTCGCTTGCAGTTTATAATAAGTATTAATGAAAGCCTTGTATTTGAAGGATTTTTGTATTATTCTAAATGTTTATTGCAGCTCGTAGTCCAGTATTTTCCCACCTATCCGCAACTCTACAAGGTCTAAGTACAGTGAGAGCCTTCCAAGTGCAGCAGTCATTCAAGGATCAGTTTGAGAGCTACCAGGACACTCATACCCAAGCTTGGTACATGTTTCTAGCCACATCGAGGTACTTCGGCATCTGGCTTGACTGGTTGACCTTGATATTTGTTGCAGTTGTCACTTATGGCTCTGTCATTTTGTTACATGGTAAGAGTCTTGAATTAACTTTCTTTCATGCGTATGTTAAGTGCCTAAAGGTCTCCATAATATGCACTCTAAAAGTCTATTATTATTATTATTATTGTTATTATTATTATTATTGTTATTATTATTATTATTATTATTATTATTTTTATTTTTAAGTATTGTATTTTAATTAATGTAGATGTTTGTTTAAATTGCTTCTGTTTCTAAGAATCTGAATTATTATTATTATTATTATTATTATTGTTATTATTATTAGTATTATTATATTTTAAAGTATTGTATTTTAATTAATGTAGATTTTTCTTTTAATTGCTTCTAGTTTCTGAGAATTTGAATTCTGGAACTGCTGGATTGTCATTTTCTTATGTGTTAAGTTTGATGGATGCTTTCCAGTGGGGTGTGAGACAGAGTGCTGAGCTGGAGAACTTAGTAAGGAAGTTATTTTGTGAGGATACACATTTTTTTTGGGGGTGTGGGGGGTGGGATGATGCGGTAGGTAAGATGCAGACAAGCATATACACTGGGAACATAGAGACTTATAACTTCCTTACTTTTACCCCAAAAATCCAAACTTGACTAGCCACTGTACAACTTTCAGAAATCGCAAACACATGCAAGACTTTTTTTATACCTTGTGTAGTGAACCCACTGCCTGCAATTAATGATGATTTCAATAAAAATACAGTTTTATTTTTGGGCAACTAGCGCAACCACCATAACGAAAAAATGGAAATTTCAGAAAAAAAAGAAGTTTTCCTTTATTTTTATTACGCCCGCCGCTGCTATGAAATCTCCAAAAATAAGATGTATATTTCTTCCGAATTGTATAAGTTTAAAGCATTAAACTACCCTATTTCTGCACACTTTACATTCACCAGTAAAATTTTATTTTCTCCTTCGTATGGATGTTTTTGGCAAAACTATTTGCTGAATGTAGAAAACAAAATTTTATTTTTTAATTTCCATCCTCTGATGATCTCAAAAATAATAAGCTCGTGAAACAAGGTACAAAAAAAGTATCACTTTAAGAGAATGTTCTGGGGAGTGTCTTCAAACTTTGTATGATAGTGCTAAGTTGAAAAGAAATTAGTTATAATTTTATTGTTAAGGCTACACACAGTTCTCAAGCAGTATTGAAAGCAAATACAACAATGACAGACATTATGAAAAATTGGCAAAGACATATTGTGTGCTAATAAAATTATTTTTACTTTTTAGATGACTTCCACTGAGCGTGTTCTAGAGTACACGGATATAGAGCCTGAAGCTCCTCTTGAACGTGAATTTAAACCTTCCTCAGATTGGCCTAAATATGGTATCATCACATTTGAAGGGGCATCTCTGTCATACTTTGATGGGGGACCAACTGTCTTGAACAGACTCTACTGCTGTATACGATCCAAAGAAAAAGTAAACATCTAACATCATTGCTTTATATTATTTTAATATCATATACTGTAATATCATATGTATCATCACCCAATTTGGTACACAAATTTATATGGTAATATATGGGGCTTGCAATTCCAAGACCAGTATCATTTTCCAAAACAAGAAAATTGACTTTTTAATATATTCATATTCTCCACATTATAAGCTTAAAAATTTACAGGAATTGACTTACTTTTACCAAAGTTATGAATAAAAGTGTTACATCTTCTGTCAGTTTAACAATCAGCAAAGGTACGTTGGTTTTTGGATGGCAAGCCTCAATTGATATTACCAGAAAACAGCTGTCACCTTGGAGTGCAGGACAGAATAAAATTCAAAAACAATCATCAATAATAATAATAATAATAATAAATAATAAAATAATAACAGGTAAACATAAAAAATGCATGCCATACAAAGTGATGCATATCACATACAATTTTTCAGCACAGTCTTAATTATTGTGGTTCGGGTTTAGTGTTCTCACTCAATGCTGCATAAACAACATATTCCATACTGAAAATTGGTTTTTGAAAAGCACTAAATAAAATGATTACCAAGCCAAAGAAGTAAAGCTGACCAGCAACTCATCACCAACTCAATCTACTTAATAGAATTAAAGGGGCTCAATTCCAGTGAAATTAAAACAGTACAACTTGTTTCTCTTGAAGGTTGGTATTGCTGGCCGAACTGGGGCTGGCAAAAGTTCCTTGATGACAGCTCTGTTACGCTTGGCTGAACCCACAGGAAGGGTCATGATAGATGGTATTCTAATCAGTGACCTTGGACTGCATGACCTTCGAAAGAGTATTTCAATAATACCCCAGGTATATAAAGTTTTATTTAAAATATGTAACATGCATACATTGTTGTTAAAATTTTCCAATGCCCATAACAAAATTCACTTATAACAAAATTAGGAATTGTTGGCCCCCTTGGGTGCAAGTTTTGTACCGAAGAGTATTTCTGCCACAGAAACTTCCGTTCTGATTCATACTACTGTGCATGCTAAACCTTTAATTTTGCAGGGGAAAGGAATTTTGCATTAGGCTAAATAAAATTAATTTCTAGTTTCACATGCCTGCCCTCATCAAATTCTGGAGCCTTATGAAAAAGTTTACTATTTGCTATTTAAAAAAAAACAATAATTTTTCCATATAAAATAAAAAATATCTGAAAGATTACTTTCAGAGGCTAAGAAGAGGTGGAAACTTAAATAGAATACATTACAAATGATTTTTATACTACTTTTTATATCAAAACATTTTTTTATTATTTACCAGCCTGTTTACAACTAGTATAGAATAGCAAATAGTAATTATCTTCACCAATAAATAATTTCAAGTTGCGGATGTGAAACTAACCTTAATTCTTAGGTTTAGAGTGTGGTAAAAATGTACACCTTTTGTGTTTAGGACCCGGTTTTATTCAGTGGATGCCTTCGGAGAAACTTAGATCCTTTTGGAGAGCACACTGAAATTCAGCTGTGGAGAGCATTAGAAGAGGTTTGAATACATATTTTTTAATGTTTACATTCAAATATATTATATTAAACATAGTTACTTTACAGACACAAGATTCAAGATTCTTTATTTCTGTCCGTTCATAAAATCAGTTGGTACATCACATCGCAAAACAAAGTGCAAGATTAATACTAACCAACAACTGCAATAAATTATAATTAGGACTTAAAACCTATTTGATACTTTGATTAAGAATTCTAATGGATAGTAGTTCGAATGAATTGAGATATCTATTTGTTGTACAGGTTTGTGATTTTCACCTTTAACCAGAGGGTAGCCAAGTAAAAAATGCGTTTAGAGGGTGGGAACTATCTGTTAAGATACTCTTTACTTTATCAATAATTTTAATCTCGCAGATATCATTTAGTTTGTTGTATTCTGTTATAATCGGTTTTTTTTCTGAAATTACCAAACCATACATAACTTCCAAACAAAAGAGAGCTTTCAATAACAGAAGAATAAAAAAGCTCATACCGCTCATTATACATGTATCAACATTGAATGAGACCACAGTTTCCTTAAGAACTGGAGGGGTGTCATACTCTTCTTAAAAATTTTATCACACTGTTCCCCCCAGTTTAACTTATTATCAATCTCTAAACCAAGATATTTAAGTTTGTACCTGGATATTCTCACCTCAAAGCGGCTACGGAGGAATCATTTTTTATATATGATTTACAACTGATTTTTCTGAGGCACAAAAAGTGTGTTTGACGAAAAACTTGGGAACAGTTATATAGATATATAAGTGTAATGATATTATACTGCCATTGCTGCTGTTGTTGCTATATAACTATTACAGCTGCTACAAACTGTTGCTGTATTGTGCTGTTTGCTACTGTTACTTCTGTTGCTATTATTCATTAAACTGGAGTTGGAGACTTTTTATATTTTTGCATTTTTAGGTTCAACTTAAATGTTTACAGCCTGTTTGTGAGCTTGGGTCACAATTTATTGGATAATAAGTGTTAGGAAACGCAGCATGAGTAACGAACAAGTATAAATCTATTCTCTCATTTCCTTCATATTTAATATTGTATACTTCTATATTTGTTAAATTTGACATTTGACCTGTCCATCCTGCAGTTGTGGTCAGGGTACTCATTTAGGGTTATTGCAGTGTGGGTGTCCAGGTGGGCCAGATTTCCGTAAGGGGAGGAGGGCTTGATATAAATGACGAGAGCACTAGAGGGCAGGGCTACAGACTGCGATATACCCTTTGGAGTGGTCCAGAAGCCAAAGCCTTATGAAGCTCCTGTCTCTTATACACATCTAGATGTGTATAAGAGACAGATATTATAATACCAAACAACACTATCCAAGTTTAATTTTCGAATATGGGTGATGTAGATTTGAATTTGTAATATTTGAACTTCCTAAATTTTTGGATTAAATTGGGAGAATAATGTGATTGATTTTATATCTGTTGGTGTATTTTATTAGAACCGATCAGCTTATTCAGGCAACAATTCGTGAGAAGTTTAAACACTGTACTGTGTTGACAATTGCCCATAGACTGAACACCATTATGGACTCGGATCGCATCTTGGTAAATTGCTTTTTTTATATGCTATGCCTTTGTTTTTTGACAAATACATAAATGTAACCCCTAATAATTCTTATTTTTTTATTAAGTTTTATGTGTATGGTTATCATTATTCATAGCAATATACTCCATATTTCATTACAAAAAAATACTTGAAGACTGTCTTGATGGTTTTTCTGCTAGAAAATTCTGGGGGGAAAAATCATAAATCTATAACATAATTTACAAATGACATTTAAAAGCCCAAACACTTACGGTCTCAACACTGTTAAAATTTATAATTTTCCAATTATTTGTTATCACTTAAATTTCCAGGTGTTACTGTTACATAAAATGCTGTATTTTACTGCTAACTATTTACTCAAAACATACACTAACCTGTAATTATTAGTACTATTTTAAGAAATATATTGTCAGTTTGATGCCAAGCATTCATTTTCAGTATCATCATTCATCTGCCCTTGAATGGAATGAAATGTTCATCACGTTCACTTTCAACCGTTCGAAGGCTGTGTTTCCACAGCACTTACAATTTCTTTGATAATTTCTCCAATAAATTATCTCGAAATTCCCTCCAAATATTTTATCCCATCATGCAACATTATGAAAATTGCGATGTGTTCAACATCTAAACTTCTGTTTTGTTGACCAGCAGGTGAACTTATTTCGTGCGCAAGATGGATGGGCCTAGGCCAAGAACAAAAACTAGGCTACTAACTACTAGAAACTAGCTACCCAAAAATATTCTTTGCATGACCGTGGTTTGACATAGGTCAAAGGTTATTTATTTTCCCATTCGGATCTTTTTCCAATAAGTTATCTGATTCTCGTGGGAAAATTTATCATAAACTTTGGGCCCTGTTTCCGCAGCGAAAAATAACAAAATGCCTGCTTTCTGATAATTGTGACCCAAGTTCACAAACTCGCACTGCACTGTTTTGAGAAACAAGCCTCAATACCCAGAATAGGGCGTAGAACGTGAATTTTGTGTGAATTGGATTTTTGTGTAATAAATAAAGTATAACTATTAATCTTACTATTCCTGAAGTTTGAGTCCAACTGTAAGAGGTAAAATTTAACCATTTTCGAATGGGAGCTAATGAAAAATGAATAGAAACCTGCCGAAAATAAAAGTATTTTTCTCCAAACTTGATTTAAGAAAGTTGATAAGATGACAATTATTCAAAAGGTCATAGCGTTGCTTCCAGACACCCGATTGAGTTCATTTAATTGTCATTTTCTAGTAAATGATATGTTCTATGCCATTATAACAAAAACTCATTTTGGCCTGAGGACGAGTTTACAGCCTGTTTGTGAGCTTGGGTCACAATTTATTGGATAATAAGTGTTAGGAAACGCGGCATGAGTAACGAACAAGTATAAATCTATTCTCTTATTTCCTTCATATTTAATATTGTATACTTCTATATTTGTTAAATTTGACATTTGACCTGTCCATCCTGCAGTTGTGGTCAGGGTACTCATTTAGGGTTATTGCAGTGTGGGTGTCCAGGTGGGCCAGATTTCCGTAAGGGGAGGAGGGCTTGATATAAATGACGAGAGCACTAGAGGGCAGGGCTACAGACTGCGATATACCCTTTGGAGTGGTCCAGAAGCCAAAGCCTTATGAAGCTCAGACAATTTTTTTTTTCTCCCCAAAAAACTGTTTTGCGTTTTCAACTGGGGGAGGGGTTGACTGGCCCATACTCATGGTGCCACCACTGGGTTATAGAAACTTAAAACACAAATGTCAAATGCCATTTGAAGAAGCTGCTTCAGATATTTATTATTAATTTATTATTCTATATTTTTTTATTTATGTTCAAGTATTAGGATAAAAAACATAATACTGTTATTTTTATGATATATTTTGATTCCTCAGATCCTCGATCAAGGAAAAATTGCTGAGTTTGATGAGCCATTCGTCCTGCTTCAGAAAGAAGATGGACTTCTTACAAAAATGGTGTCAGAAAGTGGACGGGCAGAAGCTGTTAAATTAATAGCTATTGCCAGAGAACAGTATTATAACAATTCAAGTGATCCGTACGGATTCAGTGATAAGAACATTCCATCATCACCACTTGAAAAACTTATACCTAAAGGTGTTATCAATCTCACTATTGAAACTAATTTATGATAACTGTCATGGTAACTGTTTGGTAAATGTTTATTTGTTAGTCAATTTTTGTTAACATTTTTATTGAAATTCACACGTGTTTAAATCATAAATGCAATAGAGCACTGTGTAGACTATAACATTTTTAGTCGACAAGAGCGTGCCTGAATAGAGCATTTGCAAAATTTAAAAGTGTTGACAGGGCTGTAGCCTTTACCTGTATATGAGTTAAAGGTGTAAACTTCATTCATATAATTACGACATGATTGGTTGAGATGCATTACATGGCATCAGTGGCATATCCAGGAACATGGAATAGAAGGGGGCCCAGTGAGGGGCTTTCACAGAGAGGGTCCACCCACCTCAATCCCCTACCATGGTTGGGGTTGAGGTAAGACAATCTATGACTATATCAGCTCTAGAGGGCCAGAAATGGCACTTTCCAAATTTTATTTTTTCTCCATTTTTTAATTTTTTTTTTATTTTTTAAAAATTTAGCATTGATAATATTTTAAAACAAGATGCCTTGAAGACTTGGTGTGTGGAACACTTGGCCCAATTTTTAAAATTTTCTGTTTGGCTTAAAGAACAACTCCTCAAATTTGATTTATTGACTTGACTGTGATTACCATCACATACATTTCATATCATACTTGGTTTTTATAGTGTCCATAAGTTTAAAGGACACATAAAGGAAGAAAATATAAAACTGTGTTATAAATTTATTGTTTACATTTTTCTTTTGCTGGTGTTTTGTTTTTTAAATATTTGATGAATTGGTTCCTGTTTCATGTTTTTTTTTTATCATTTAAAAAAATTGTGAATAAATATTTTTATACCTCAACACGTAGTAGACTATCATTTTATTAAATAATATCCCTACTAAACATCATCTTTTAATTTAAGAAAGCACAAAATATTTGTTATGATCCACCACCCAGATGCCTGGGTCTGCAGAAATCTGGAAGAAATATATCTAGCACTATCCTTTTAGGCGTCTTACTTTGAGTACCTCATGATGTCAATTACAATATCGTAAAATAACAATTTTACACTTAAATACAAATCTACGAATTATTGAACGAGGAGTTGTCACACTACAAAAGCAACATAGAATTCATTGTTCAAATACGTTAGTGTAGTACAGCCAGTACAGTACAGTGGAAGGTAGCCGAGTAATAATTATGAACACTTCAGTGAGTGCCACTGATCATACAAAGGTTTATGTTCACTGTATGTAATATGAAACAAATTGACCATATTAACCCCCAAAATCCCGACACCCAAAAATTCAATTAAGTTTAAAACGAAGTCTCGTAATCTTGGAAGCTCCGATGAGGGCAGTATATTAGAGGCAGTACAGTATATTGGCCCTAACGGCCGCCCATACAAAAAAAAAGGTATTCCTAGCGCTCATCACCCGAGCTAAAGTGACGAATAAGCAGTGCCTACATCTATCACATTTTATTAAGAAAATATAAAAAGATTACTCTTCGTTTGAACAAAGCCGAATTGGATTTTAATTTTTTACATAATATA